AGAATTTCTGATAAAATTGTTATTATAATTAACAACGTTCGCTAGTAGCGCCACACATGTGCGACGATTACGATTTCTTTTTATAAAGAACGTCGAATGATTTTGGTGAACGCAATTCTTTAAGATTTTTATGTATTGCATGGACAATTTGGGAAGAGGAGATACGATTATTCGAGCCTTGCATAACCTTGACATAATCTTAATAATAATAATATAATATAATATAACAATAATAAAATAATATAATATAATAATAATAAAATAATATAATAATAATAATAATCATATCTCCTGTTCCCAAATTGTCCATTTTTGTGGACAATCCGAGCGTCAATTAGAGAGACATTACTGTACCATGATATTTCGAGAATTTATGGCTTTCATTCGACATTTTTCTCATATTCGATGAGAAGATTCGATGCATTTAATGCGATAAGTACAATAAATATATGCAACTATGTGCGATGCGTTGGTGACGCTGTTAAAAAAGCTCTATAAATCTTATCCGTAAACGATCGAACCGTTTAGATCAATATAACGTAACAGGTTCTTTCGAAATCATTATTTACGAGAAAATTATCGAGCTTCCCTTAGACACGGTTCAGTTATTGAAAAGCCTATTAATAGGCTTCCGGTAAATAAAACGTTAACAACATTTCCCGCAGGGAACAAACATGACTGCGGAAAGCTCTCTATCGGGTATTTTACGAAAATCTCCACACGTACAAAACGACAAGCTCCAAGATGTTAGTTCAGAAAAATCAGAACAGAAGAAGATTCCTTTTCTTCGTCGACGATCTAGTGTTTTTGCGATCTTTAATTGTTTACAGCCCATACCAAGACCAATCGATTTCTATGAAATTTTCAGTACGCACACAAGTAACAGGATCTACAAAACAAACGATCTACGAAACGCATGTTTTTTAACTGTTGTTATAGGTTCAGATAAAAGAGTTAAAAAACACGAGTCTTTTAATCTCTTCTTTCTGTCACTCCAAGCAATAGCAACATTTAAAAAATACGTTCTAGTTATGGTACGGTAGACTGGTCCCTCTATCATCTAAGAACAATTCAAGCAGTTTAGTCTAGTTCTAAAAAAGTTATTGCGTTTTAAAAGATGTCCGAACATTAATCGAAGTCACTGCTCAGCTTATCGAGTTTACTGTGACGTCATGTTCGTCTTTGCTTCAGGCGAACTATCCGAACCCGTGTTTATAGCTATACAGGGTGTCCCAAAATTATGATATTTCCAGGAAACGAGAGATCCCTGGCGTTATTTGAAGTAACTTTTTCCTTAGCGAAAATGCAATCCGCCGCTTCGTTTACGAGTTATTAACGAAAAACACTGACCAATGAAAGACGAGCACGGCCGACGGTAAGCGTCCGAGCGGTCGACTCTCAGTTCCGCTGATTGGCTCGGCCGTCTAGCGGCAGCCGAGCTCGCCTCTCATTGGCCAGTGTTTTTCGTAAATAACTCGTAAACGATGCGTCGGAGAAAATTTTCGTAAAGGAGAAAGTTGCTTCAAATCACCTCAGGAATCACCCCTTTCCAGATTTCAACATAATTATGTTTCATCCTGTATATCTAAGGATCTCAAATCCTAGCAAACGTCTCGCACAAACAACAAACATAGCAACCCAGAGACCAGAGAATCCGCCGTTCAGTGAATCAGGATCTATCAGATCCTCGAAAACAGTCGCGGTTTCCGTGAGCCGTCTCCGCAGAAACTAGTAGAAGAGCTGCGGTCGACTGGGTCGAAAACGAGCAACGTCCGACGGAGGAAAAGGTTGGAATAAGGAGACGAAAAACTCTTCGGTTTGCCCGGCGGTTGGACGGCGTGTTCCTTGTACCTGGCCGACGCGACGGTTTCTCGCGCGCTTATTCCACGCTATTCAGCATCGTTCTGCTTTCTTCCGGCCTTCCGCCGGCGGAGCAACCCACGTCAGTTCAGTTCTCGCGTTCGCGTGTCTGCCGCAGTCCCAACCGTCCCGTGGACAATGTCCGTCATTCGGATATCTTCCGTCTAATTGCTCGTCCTTCCTCCATTCTTCTGTAGTCGGAAGCCTCGGAAACGAATATCTCGGGATGACGCATGGACTTGCACCGAGTGGTATACACTGTATAGAGAGCAGTGCCAGTATGGCTGGCGAGAAAGAGACGCGGGGATGAAGAGAGGAAGAGGTGGAGAGGGAGGAGGAGAGATCCTTTCTTCCCAGCTGAAAAGAAAGAATCTTATCTGGTACTGGTTATCGGCTGTGCTTTAGACTCGGTGTGAGAACGAGGCGTCCGGCGTCGGCGTCGACGTCGACGATGGCCAGAGGAGGAGGAGGAGGAGAAGGTTGGTTGCTGACGATGACCATCCCTCGTCGCGCTCGAGGACGTAGATCGAGAATGAAGTTCGGAACGGAACTGCTATTGTGCAGTTCCGGGCGCGGATGTTAAAAGTGACCTAATCCCTCCGATAAATTCGATGATTTTTACTCGAGCTGGATACTTCGTCGTCGTCCTCCATATCCTCATCCTCGTCCTCGTTCTCGTTCTCGTTCTCGTTCTCGTTCTCGTTCTCGTTCTCGTTCGCGTCCTCATTCTCGTCCTCGTCCCCGTTCTCGTTCTCGTCCTCTTTAGGCGACACCATCGCCGGGTGTCGTATTCGTCAATCCACAATCGAGCCCTCGTGAGATGGTCCGGCGACGAAAATTGATCGAATTTTTGCCGAGGAACGTGCTCCAAATGGATAAGCGATGGCTGATATACGCTCACCCGGTAACCGGATGTAACGTACCGGCTCTCCAGGCGTCGCAAACTATTCTTCCTCTGCGCACTTCTCGATCGCGCTTAGAGACCGACCGGCCGCCCCGACGAAATTAACCCTTTCGATACTGCGGACCACTATCAGTGGCCTTCCATATGATGCCACTGAGGCACTGCGGGCCACTATAGTGGCCTTCCATATGGTGTCACTGAGGTATTACGGTCCACTATAGTGGCCTTCCATATGATGCCACTGAGGTACTGCGGGCTACTAACAGGGTTGATAAATATTTTATGCTGACAGAAATATGTAAAACACAACGGAAATTCGTTTTAGTTCGATCTAATTGTTTGTGTATACCATAATTTTTATTCGCGAATGCAATCCGATCGCGCGCGGTGCAGTTCATATTTTTATATTTATTTGATTATTATATTTATTCTCTGATACTTTCGAGCTATTTTGTTATTATCATTATTATCAGTAATATCATCACTTTTATAATAATAATAATTATTATTATTAGTGGTATTATTATTACTGTTATTATTAGTAGTATTGCTATTATTATTAGTAGTAGTAGTAATAGTATTATTACTGTTATTATTAGTAGTAGTAATAGTAGTATTGCTATTATTAGTAGTAATAGTAGTAATAGTAGTATTGCTATTATTATTATTAGTAGTAGTAATAGTATTATTTCTGTTATTATTATTATTAGTAATAGTAGTAGTATTGCTATTATTTTTTTTGGGGGGGGGAGGAAGTAGTAGTAGTTGTAGTAGTTTTAGTAGTAGTAGTAGTAACAGTATTATTACTGTTATTATTATTATAGTAATTATTAGCAATTTTTATTATTTTTATTTATTTATTATTAGCTATTTCGTTATTACCTTTATTATCAGTACCATCATCAATGTTATTATTATTATTACTAGCATTAGTATTATTATTACTGTTATTATTATTATTATTAATCGTATTATTATTACTGTTATTATTAGTAGCAGTACTATTATTATCATTATTATTAGTGTTATTATTGTTATTACTACAGTAAGTAGTGCGTGACAGAGGACGGGATAAACAACGTTACGGGGTTAGGCGGCCGCGGGAGGAAGAGGAGACGAGTTAACTCGGTCGTTATCGACAAAATGATAATATCAGGAGTTCGCTTACATGCTCGATACAGTGAACAGCCACGAAACTGTATGAAATTCAAAGTACCGCGATATATGCGCGAAACTATGATTTAACATGGGTTCTCCAGATCCTCGGTAATCTAGATACGCCGGGATTCACAATTATCGTGCTTATTCATGCGCACGGTAAACTCACATAAATTAAACGGCAGGGAGAGTCGCTGAGAGGCACTGACCATTTCGCTAAAGCTACGATAATAAGGTCGCCGTGTAACTGGCGGAAAAATGCCGGATCGCGCTACATATTTTTCTTCCCCCCCCCCTCCCCTCCCCCCCTCCCA